AAAAATTTTAATTTGGTTCATAAATAATTTGAAAAAAAATTCTGAAAACTGAATTTCTTAAAGTTTCTTACCATTGGAGTGAATTTCTGTTTAAGTTGCTTAATGTTGACATGGCATACTGGGGACCACTTTTTTCAGTTTCCAATGCATGAAGCAACTCAAATGAGTTGCTTCCATTGGAGATGCCCTAACTTCAACTGTTCAAAGATAATTTTTGATAGATTTATTTCACTCAATAACTTATAATATATATTTGATTTTATCGATTTAATCATTAAATTAAAAATTCTTAATAAATAGATCAAATTTATAATTTTTTTGTAAAATTTGAGAACTATATACTTCATTATATAAATTAAAAATTAACCTATAATATACTTTTATAAATACATGTTAATTTAAATTAATATTATAAAATATGAAATAGTTATCATAAAAAAAAATTATAAACGTGATCTATTTATTAAAAAGATTTAATATAAAAAATTTATAAAATTCAATATATATTATAAATTATTTAGTGAAATACTTAAAAAAAAAAAATTTTGAGTAAGTAATATATATAACAAAAGTGTATTATTTATAGATGGCAAGCTCACACTAGAGAATTTTCAGAATAATAAAAGAAAAATGTCCCCAAGTCAAGAATGGGTCCCCCCAGCGGGTCAATGTGAACAAAACCAACACGCCTCCAATTTTTATTATTTCGAAAGTTTTGTACGGAAGGACGTGTTTTCATTCGAGGAAAACTTTGTTGAATTAAGAAACACTTCTTCATCTTTTTCAGTTCCCAAATTCGCATCTTCTACAACAACATCAATCCCTTCGTTTTTGTTTCATGGGCTCATTTCGGGTGCCATATATACAGCGCCATGACCAAACCCAGCACCTTTTTTCATAACCTCATCAAGCCCTTCAAATTCACTTCCAATAAAGGTATAAACCATCAAAACCCAATTCCCTCTCTCTCTCTCTCTCTCTATTTTTTTAAAATTAATTATTTTATATTTATTTTCACTACCCAATCATAATAAAATTACATGCTTATGTTATGTATAATTTAGAAGGACAGAGCGAAGACGACATACAGAACTTAGCTTCCCAGGAGCAGAAGATCT